TGCAGAAACCAAATTGTTCTTTGTCCTTTTTGTATCTCACCTGAATTTGCATGTATGGCCACCAATCTATCTTTATATTTTGTTGCTGTAATTCTTGTCTCGTTTTTAATCTTCCTTGTGTGTCTAATAAGTCTTTATAAGTCCTCTTTTTCCCCAGATCCATTGCATTTGGGTAGATTTGTGCTTCCATAGTTGACTACCAGTTTGGTATTTTAGTATAATAGTTCTTTTTAATCTTGTTCTATGTCCGAATTAATGAATCTCTAATCGTGTCTCTGAAAATATGCATGCTGTTTACATTTCCCATCCCATAGAAAACTGTCACCCTCTCTGCAAGTCATGACCCTCTATCAACAATACTCTTCTATTTTCCAGGTTGATCCAATCTTTAATCCATACCATAGCCGCAGCCTGGTAATACATTTCCCAGTCACCTTCATCCTTTCCATGACTGTTTTTCAACTATCAAAACACCTTACCACTCCTTACCGCTTAGTCTTGCTAAATACAAACAAATACTAATCTGTGAAAAGAAACTAGTACCTCCCATGACCAAGCTTTGTTTTTTCACTGGACATCTGCATGTTACACAATCACATGCAAAGTGGCAGAAGACTTCAGGGCTCAAATGTAGAGGTCTCCAGCCTTTTTGGAACAGGGGAGACTTTTGGAATCTGGCTCTCTCACAAAAGAAATGGGATGGAAGACACGAGCAATCATGAAATACCCATTTCCCAGAAAGCAGTCTGTTAGGTTCCTCCTAACAATGCCTCCATGCCCCCTAGGAATCTCCTGTCCCTTTCTACTTTCTCCTGAACTGATGAACACCCATCCAAGCAAAGCTCTGGGTTGCAATCCCTTCACTGCTTTATTTTCTAAGCAGGTCTCTGGGATATAAAGAGGCTTAGAAAGATTGTTTGAAAACCAAAATATATTTTGCTGGAAACCAGTTATTTCCTTTCCAGAATGCTATTTTTCTATTCTTCTTAATTAAAACAATGTAAAATCTATGTAAAATTGCATAAGGCAGAGAGTGTGGTGTGTAGAAAGTCCAGTGTGTATCATGTCAATAAAAACGATCCTACCTGGTACTAAGGGGAAAAAATCCTGATGGTAGGAGAAATTAATGATTAACCAATGGAACTGCTTACTTCCTGGAGTTGTGGGAGTTCCATTGTTGGAGGTTTTCAAAAAAAGATTGGATCTCCATTTGTTCAAGATGGTATAAGGATTCCTGCCTTGAGCCAGGGGCTGGTCTAGAAGACCTCAAAGGTCCCTTCCAGCCCTGTGATTCTATGTTCTAATAACAGTCTTAAGGAAAAGTTGCAAGTTCTTTGCTAATGTTCACGTGCCCTAGATGCCACATTCAATCCTTGGCATGTTCAGGCAAACTGATAAATACCTTGGTATGAAATATGGATTTCAATATTTTCCTATAAATCTGTCATTAAAATATTCTGGTTTTTTTCTGTGCAGTCTCTGGTATTAATTTTCAAACGATATTTTTAATGAATGAAACAGTTCCTGAAGTTGAGAATCAGTTAGTACTTTCTTGTTCTGATTTTAAACAGATCTGGAATATTTGACACAGATCTGAAGTGATATTAAATGGAGATAAGTCTGTTCTCTGCATTTATCTTTCAACACCTTTTCCCTATTACCTTTTAAGTTTTTAATTTGCAAAATGCAATTTTATCAGTCTATTAGGTTTCATTAGGTTTACATTAACTAAAATTACTTTTACCAAAATAGTTTTAAAATGCCTATAACAGTACTTAAGAGGATTGATTTTAATGACTTAAAGTGTTTATTTGCTGTCTTTTAATGATTACTCAATTATTCAGCCTTTAAAAAAAATGCTATCAAAATTTACAGCATGCTCAAATGAATTGACTCAACAGGCAACATCAGGTCTGCCAATGTAAACTTAAGGCAGAAATAAATCCATATTCCTCCTAAATGTGAAAAATTGTATTTATAGCACACTAGTTGTGATAGAAGTCTGAAAGTTGGGAGGCACTGCATAACCAAGGGGTTGAAATATATTGCTTAGACCAAGTGTTTCTTTGCAGACCAATAATTCCAGAAGGTCATTTCCAAAGACTTCTGCCTTCAATTTGTTGCTAGCCAGAACACAGGCTGTGCTGTTCAATGGAGGGCACTTGCTCTACAGATACTGCTAAGTTTAGTCTGCACCTGCTAATATTCCAATGTCTTCCAATGTATGGGTTTCTGATAGGAACTTGCTGGCAGGCCATGTAGATAAAGCTAGGGTGTGTTTTACTATTGAACACTTAACATGTGTAGTACTTCCAAGAGAACCAACTTTGCTGTACTCCTGCTTTTCTCATGCCAATAACTTGTTCAGAAAATGATTCCTTTTCCCACCGTGGGCCTTGATATAGTACAAGTGAATGCCTGAGAGAAGAGGGTCTCTTCACACAGGAGGCCACATTTTAGCAGATCTATTTATCTTACCTAAAGAAATAGCTGGTGGTTTTTACAGTGGCTTAAGACAGGCAATGAGGTGAAATAATTCTTATGTTCTAAGCTGCCATAACAGAACCTTCTTCCTGTATTATTTCTACTTGGATAAATTACATGAACATAGGTTACTATTTTCTGCTGCTGCTAAAGATTGCAGAATCATAGGAATCCCATTACCGGGATAAAATTCCAAGCAAATTTATATGTCACTCAAACTGCCTTCCCCACAACTGAATGAATTCCTCCAGTATTGCAGCCAATTTGAGGAGATATTCTTCTCCTCACAATCTCTTGTGGTATTTAAAGCACTATTGTAACAATACAGTTTGAGTTTTGAATAGCCGCTGCTCTCATTTCTAACAAGGAATTTGATTTTAAAAGTTTGCAAATCTCTTTCTCCCTCATCCCAATTTGCAATAAAGGGGCACTTCCAATGTTCTGTTTCAATACCCAACTGCTCCCCATCCCTTTTTATAGTACCTGGTAACTTTGAAATTTATTTAATTGCAGAATTCAACATGTGCAAATAGGGTTATGTGAGAAGAGCCCTGGTGGTGCAGTGGTTAGAATGCAGTATTGTAGGCAAGCTCTGCCCTTACCCTGGAGTCGATCCTGATGGAGCTTGAGGTTGATTCAGACTTCCATCCTTCCAAGATCAGCAAAATGAAGATCCAGATTGTTGGGGGCAATATGCTGACATTGTAAACTACCCAGAGAAAGTGGTATAAAGATTCTTCCATTTGCAATTATTTCAAGACAAGCATCAGCCCCTTCCCCTTTGCCTTCCAATGGAATATCCTAGAATCACTGACTTAGAAGGGATTTGGAGGACTTCTAATCCAATCCACTGCCCAGGACAGGAATCCTCAGACCATCCCAACCTTTGATTGAAAATGTCCAGGGATAGAATATTCATCACTCTGGGGGACAGGCTGTTCAGTTCAATAACTCATTTGCTCAGAAAATTGCTGAAACTTGGTTCTTCTTCTACATTTGGACCAGAGGTGGTATTCAGCAGATTCTGACCAGTTCTGGAGAACCAGCAGCAGAAAATTTGAGTAGTTCGGAGAACCAGCAAATACCACCTCTGACAGGAGATTTTACAGTATCCTTTCCCTGCCACACCCACCAAGCCACGCCCACAGAACCCATAGTAAAAAAAATTGAATCCCATCACTGATTTGGACCTATGGACCTATCCATACCTTCTTCCCTGTGACAGCTGTTTTGGTATTAGAAGACTCCAATCATGCCTCTGCTTTAGGCTATTTTTCTGTCATCAGAACAAATGTGCAGGGCCCAGCCTCCCCAACACTGATATTTAGGAGTTTTGTTGTTCCGTACTGGCGAAGCAGTGTTCAGTTCTAACGACTCATCTGACAAGAGATGGACTACATACTGCAACTCTATCATTAGCTTCTTCATCCAATTCTCGTTGCTACAAGGATCTCATATCTGCCAATAGAGTCCTTCCATCATTGTAATTTTTTCATCCGACTTAACAAGAGTCTTTAATGGTTCCTGAATAGCAGACCTTCCTGATTTTCGTTGCTTTATTTATTGTTTCACTGTCATATTCACAATATTTTTTCTTCAAATTTGCACTTGTCCCCCACACTCCATCAACTGGCTTTTTAAAAATCTTTTTTTGAAAATCTAAAAAGCTCAAACCTGGATGGGAGGCCCAACTAATAAGTTGAAAACTATCCCAAAAGATGGCAACGAATAACCATTTCCATATTGACTCAGCAATCCATCTTTCCAAGGCTGGAAAAATGAGGACAGATTGTTGGGGGCAAGATAAGATGCTGACTTTGTGAACTGTTTAAAGAGGGCTGTAAAGCACTGTGAAGCAGTGTGAAAGTCTAAGTGCTATTGCTATGTTAGAAGAAAATCATGTGGATAAATTACATAAAATCCCCAGCAGTCGCTTGACTTGGAAAGTTTACCTGTCTCGTAACAAATAGCAGTTACCCCAATGACTCTTCTTCAGTCATTCTATGCCAGAGATAAAGCCAAACTGGGCACCTAACCCCTGATGTGACAGCTCTACAGATCGGGAAATAATGCTGAAGGACAGTCACACCAGACTTTTCCAAATACAGATAATTCTGATTAACAGCTTACATTAACTAAACAACTGAATATGTTTTTAGAACTGCAGGCTTTGCTAATGACAAAGAAAAGATTATCACTAGCTGCCCAGTAAGAAAGGAGAGATAAACTATCATATCAAGGTTAAAGCAAGAAGGACTACATGATAGTAATAGTAATCTCCCCTTATAATTTTCAAGTATTACACAGAATCTTCAGCTTTTGTTTTAGCAACAGGGGCTGGAAATTTGATTTTTCAAAACAGACATTCATGAGACACAAGTTCCATCACATTGCTGATTTCATTCTGATATTGGACGAATATAGCTTGTATGGAATTCTTCAATGCCTAACATGCAAATAAGTAAGGCTTTGGTATCCAGGAACAGGGCCAGACATCTCATATTTTATTTTAATAATTGGATTATAAATAAATTTTATTATAATTTCCTCAAGACAAAAATCAAGGCTCAGCTTAGACTTGGAACAAGACAGAATTCTGATCTAGAGAAAACGTTGGAGGGATATTTCAATTCCAAACAGGAGCAGTTTTAATTAAAAACTGACAGCCATTGTGAGCTGCTAACCAATTTATGCTTCTTACCATTATTGAAGACTTCAGTTTAGGTCGAATCTCAATAGTCAGGACAACCTTATATTTAAATGGCACAATGTCTCTGTATGCTTCTGAAAATTAAAAAGGCTATCTGGAACATTCTAGAATGTAACTTCATATTTTTTCAAGTGAAATCAGAGTACTCTTCAGAGATATTCCACCTATCTTCAAGTCCATCTCCAAGTCCACCTAGAGTTACATTTTGAATCTACCTGCTGTATATGGAAATTCAAGGTCAGTGTCTATGACACAAATCTCCACTAGGATCAAGAAGATCTGCAGGAGGTCTGACCTAGCCTTCCCAACCCAGATGGCTGTTGCTGAGAAATTTCCCAAGGGTGGAGCTCAGTCTTCAACAAGGCAGAATGTGGGAGCTCCTTCCAACATCTTCAACAAATGTTCTCTTTCTATTTGATTGAAACTCTTTCTTCAAATCTTGAACAACGCAGGAAAAATAGGGCAGGAATCTCAATATTGTCTTCCAGTGCAAAGTAAGTGCACAATCCTTCATTAAGACTGAAACTCTGGTGGCGGCAAAGTTCAGTACTTCCTCTCATAAATTAGGCTCCTTGCAATTCAAGAAATCCAGGTTAGGCTTCCATCTTCCGCAGACACAATCTGTTGAAGGAGTTTCTGGAGGAGAAATAGAAGAAGGTTTTCAAACAAATATTGGAAAGGAATTTACATTATATGTGGGGAAAGAGTGAAATAGCAAAAGCAGAAATGTATACTTCTACTGAATAAAGGAAAGAACTGCATTAGATTTGGGTCTGATTCTGAAGCAGGATCTCTCTAAAGCAACTGGCACAATCAGAGTCATTATAAGATTTAAAGAAGCCCTAAACAGGCACAAATGGCACTTAACAGATTCTACCAAACTGATTCAAAATTACTAAAGGTAAGAACTGTGTCCCTTGAAAGCAAGCAATGGACAACTTATAGTGCCCCTGTGCCACTTATGACATTCTAAACATCTGGATATCATCCAACAGCATAGCATCTTGTGTTGGATAGCAGCATATGGTTATACTTCCTGGTTTCGGGGAGCAGAATTCCTAGAAGAATTCAGTGGGATTCATTTATGTCTTAAGGAGCAAAAGATGAAAACAAAACCAACAAATTAGGAAGGGTCCCTAAGTGTAATAGTGATGGAATTATACCAATAAGCTTGCCTGTGCAAAGCACTTTGATTCTGAGCATCCATTTTGAAGTGTTTACTCATACCAGAGGCAAGCTGGGCATGCAGGTCTCACCTGTGTGCAGAATGAGGGGCAACTGGTGTATAGAGTTGAGGGATTTTGCGGTTGAGTAGCGGGTGCAGGGCTTCCTTTAGACGCTGGTAATTCCTCTCTAGCTCTCTCAGGAATTCACGTTGGTCTGGTCCAATCAATGTCTTGCTTTTACGAAGGGCATCTTCACATCTAAGAAAATAGTCAGGTGGATATGCATGGTGGTACTGGCTTACAGAGGCTTCAAAGGGTTTTCTGTCTCCTCCTTTGGGCTATTTACATTGTCTAACTGTTCCAACCTTAATGTAATTGCTCCCAGCTTCTAGCCTGAAATGCCCTCAAAGGGAGATAGATTTTTGAAGTGTCTATTAGATGTGGAAGGCTCTGGAGACAAACTTTTCTTTTCAGATCACCCTTACTGAACTGCAGAAGCCTTGGCAATGAACTTATGTGCTGCAAAATGTATTCCTTTGAAGACATCCTTTCAAAAGATTGGCTTTACTTTTAGTTGTCTGGAACTTTTTAGAGGAAAAGCTGAAGATCAAGTTAATAAACATACTAAAGTTTTGCCAACCAAAAGGGGATTGTGTAGGCCTGGCTGACATTAAAGGAAACTATTTTCTTTGGTCCACTAAAGAACTGAAACAATTTTTTTTTGCAAAACTCAGTACAAAAGACACAGCTGGGCAGAGAGCAAAGCTGTGTATATAGGATGGACAGCAATTAATTACTTAGCATTAGCTCATCATTAGTTTAAAATGATTACGGGTCAGAGAATTCTCAGCTCTATCAAATATTCAAAAAGAGGTATTGACACAAATGAATTGAGGCAGCTTTGTTACTTGACAAGTGGCTATGTATAAGAGGCACTTCATCTATCTTCTTTTACTGGACCAGAAAGAGCCAGATAAAAGTCTACCCTCACTCATGAAGCCCTCTGAACCAGTCCTATTTTTTTAGCCCAGCCTATCTCCATACAGTTGCTGTTGTAGGTATAAAATTAGGGGAGTTCTCCCCGCCCCAGCTTTCAATAGAAAATACTGCATTTATGCTGACTACCTCCTAAGTCCCGAAGAGGATAAAAGATAGTCACTTTTGAGTTGAACTTGAATGCTGGTGAACATGTCCACATACTTTCTAATCACTAACCAGAACATCTTTGCTTAGCTTCTGAGCTTAGATAAGGTTGGTTAGATGCTGCCACCTGCTGAAACTATACACAGGAGTCTCTTCTTATTTTATCTCCAGAACATCTAACAAAGAGAGGCTAAAGTCATTGGTGAGCCCCATATTTGAATAGGACCTTTTACTTGGCTCTCCTCAGTTCATTAAAGGAACCTACTAATCCCAACCACAGTCTATCACTTGGAATACTCTGCTGAATTTTTGGAATGCTCACAACAGTTCTATTAACATAGATATGTATTACTTTGATATATTTTGTGTATGGAAGCAGGATGCAGGTCAACATAGTAAAAGCAGAATATTCCTTTAGCTCTTCTAGAGAGTACATAGCAGAGGCATCCTCCATCTCCATGCTCCAATACTCATAACAACCTCCTCCCGGAGTTGTTATTCTGGAAAACAGAGTTGTTCCGGAAGGCTAGTTTTGTGAAACAGAATTCCAGTTAATCTTCTTTTAGCATAGCTGGAAGTTATTTTAATTGTAATGTGAATCAGGGAAATCTGGGTCTAAGAAGCAAGCGGTTTTAGGAAGTTACGAATTGCAGTTGGCCCTATGTCCCCTCCATATGTAAATAATAGGGAAGTTGTAACAGCTATAGATGATTCTGAAGAACTACGTTATCCAGAGGAATATAAAGACCTAGCAGATGTGTTTAGCGAAAAGGACTGTGAAACATTACCACACACAGAACAACTGATTGTGCAATTGATTTAATTCCTGGAGCAAAGTTTCCAAAACCATGAATGTATGCCATGACTCCAAAAGAGATGGAGGAAATGAGACAATATACAGATAAAAAATTGGCGCGTGGATTTATTCAACCCGGGAAATCACATATAGCTGCCCCTGTTTTATTTTGCAAGAAAAAAGATGGTGGATTATGTCTTTGTGTTGATTTCTGCGGGCTCAATGCTATTTGTATAGATAATGTATATCCTTTACCACTGATCAACTATTTGTTAGCAATGTTAGCGACTGGCAGGTATTTTACGAAATTGGACTTACGAGAGTTTGAGTTAGAGTTTGAATACGAGAGGGGGATAAATGGAAAACTACTTTTAATTGCCCCCTTGGAAGTTTTCAGTTTAACGTTATGCCATTTGGGTTGCAAGGGGCACCCGCTGTCTTCATGCAACTTATAAATGAATTATTACAAGAATATTTATATCGTGGCATTCTAGTATATTTAGATGATATTTTAATTTATACCAAAACAATGGAGGAACATGTGACCTTAGTGAGAAAAGTTCTGAAAAAATTACTTGATGCCAAAATATATGTGAAACTTTCGAAGTGCGAGTTTCACTGTACGTCATTGGATTATTTAGGTTACAGGATATCCAATAAAGAAATAGAAATGGATCCCAATAAAGTCAGAACTGTAGTTGATTGGAAAGAGCCAAAAACATGAAAGCAATTGCAAAGTTTTTTAGGATTTGCGAACTTTTACCGGCAGTTTATTCCTAAATTCGCGCAAATTGCTTTACCACTAACAGAATTGTTAAAAACTAAACAAGCGCCAAAACCCAGACCTAGTCAACCCATTGTATGGTCACAGGAGTGTCAGCGAGCATTTGACAACCTGAAAGCTTTATTTGCTCAAGAGCCCATTTTAAAACATCCTGATACAACCAAAAGTTTTGTAGTACAAGCTGATGCAAATGATGTGGCTGTGGGGGCTGTCCTCTTACAGTATAACATTGATGGACAATTACAGCCATGTGCATATACATCACAGAATTTTACAATCACAGAACGCAGGTGGGCTATTTGGAAATAGGAGGCTTTTGCCGTAAAATGGGCACTTAGTACATGGAGACACCTATTAGAAGGGTTGAAAGAAAAATTCGAAGTTTGGGCGGATCATAAAAATTTACTAGCATTACAGAAACTGAGAAAACTATCCCCTAAACAAGTAAGATGGGCTTTGTATTTTAAACGTTTTGATTTCCAGTTGCAATATGTTCCGGGAGGTAAAAACTTCATGGCAGATGCACTATCTAGACTACCTTAATACAATGTGTCTAGAGATGAAGTTATTCAGCCCATGATCTCTGTAGGACCATCAACCGAACAAATTCAGATGTTGACCATGAAAGAGATAACCAAAAAGGAATTAGAAGAGGCTACAAAAATGGATGTATGGATAAAAACAAATAATAGTGCCTGTTTACATAAAGATGGATTGTATTGGAGAGGGGATAAAATATATGTTCCATCAAATTGTAGGAAAAAGATATTATCCTAATATCATGATGTAAGGCAGGCTGGACATTTTGGATTTTTAAAAACACTACATTTGGTAAGGCGGCAGTTTTGGTGGCCACATATGAGATCAGACATTGAACAGCACCTTAAAGAATGCCACATTTGTGCTACTACGAAACCTCCAGTAGGAAAACCTTTAGGACTATTACAAGCTGTATCGGATCCAAACTGGCCATGGCAAGATATAGCCATGGACTTTATTGTGGAGTTGCCCAGCAGTAACGGATATACAGTAATCTGGACTATTATAGACTTGTTTTCAAAACAAGCTCACTTTATACCATGTAAAGGATTACCTTTGGCAACAAAATTAGCCAACCTGTTTATAAAACATATATATAGATTACAAGGCACACCTAGGAGGATAATCTCGGATAGAGGTGTGCAATTCACAGCACGATTTTGGAGAGTGTTTGTACGCCTTTTAGGATGCTCTCAAGGTTTTAGCTCTGCATACCATCCCAGCACCAATGGTGCTGCTGAAAGAGCTAATGCGATGATTGAAAGGTATTTGAGATCATATACATCTTATCAACAGCGAGAATGGGCTGATTTACTTCCATTTGCTGAAGTAGCATATAATAATGCTATACATGAAAGCACAGGATATAGCCCATTCCAGGTAGTAAATGGGATAGAATTTGTGCCAATTCCTGATTTACAATGTGATGAACAACAACCCATAAATGTCCAAATGTGGTAAAAAAAAGTTCAGGATAGTTGGGATAAAGTAAAAGAAACTCTCAATAAAACAGCACTAGAATATAAACATCAAGCAGACAAGAAAAGAGTATAAAGCATTCAAACCTGGAGATCATGTTTACCTATCAACTAAATATATAAAATTACACCTAAATAGTCGAAAATTGGGACCAAAATATATTGGTCCTTTCCAAATTACGAAAGTGATAAACCCCGTAACTGTAAAACTTAAATTGCCACCACGGTTACATCGAATCCATCCTGTATTTCATGCTAGTTTACTTAAGCCTGTAGAATACATTGATATACCTCAACTTGAGGAATCTGTAATAGCTAAAGATGTAACCCATGCTGAAATTGATAAAATTCTAGATTTGCGGATATGTAGAAAAGTGTTACGATACTTAGTGAGATGGAAAGGATATCCTGAAACAGAAGCAACCTGGGTGAAAGTAGCAGATGTGTGTGCAAATAGACTGATAAGGCAATTTCATACCAAACATCCCGATAAACCTGGACCACAAGTAGAGACATAATTAGTGATATAATGTATATTGTTTTATAGACTGGTTCCTGGTAGAGGGGGACGCATGTCGCGACTATGCAACACACACGTTTGCATCGAAGCCACATCGACCTGAAGGATGGCATTCCTCTTCATCAGAATAAACTCTGTATCATAATAATATGCGCGGTCTATGTAAAATGCTGTGAGGTGAAGCTCTATGCATTAACCACGATTCATGTGATTGAGTTCATACGAATAATTATCATTAAAAATGGTAATCACTGGTAATAAGGGTAATCATGGGTAATGAAGGGTAATGAGGGGAAATCATTATAAATATCAAGTCCCAGGAAACTCGGGTTAGATCCAACTTTATTTTGTTTGCTTAACTATTATCTCGGACTCCTTGCGGAGGAAGGAATAAACAATAAGCTTTTGTGTTACGAAATACTGAAGCGAAGAGTGTCTTATTTTCTCCCTGCATTTGTGCCAAAGAGTAGCTGAGACAAGCTTTCTAAAGTTATTATCTAAGAAATCTTTTTCTTCCCTGTACAAATTCTGGATATGTCTTTTCACTGACCTTCCCTATATAACTTGCAAAAGAAATCTCCTTCATTCTCCAAGACCATTTCTGGTATATCATCTTGGAGTTGTTTTTATGCTGCCCAAAAAGACATTTATTGACTCTATTATGAAGACTCATATAATCTAAATGGTTCTCTGCAAAGGGAGGAAAAGCACATGGGGATCTCAGCCTCATGTTAATCCTAGCAAAGATGTTCTGGGATAAAACAGTTGCATCTGGATTAATGTGAGAAGTTTGCAAGTTTTAAGGGTCATTTCTGATGTAACACATCATACTTGGATGGCTATCTATATTGAGAATTTTGTCAAGAGATCTCCTTGGGTGGAGCCCACTTTATTTTCTCACCCAAACCTTTATATTATGAGCATTTGAATCTATTGCAATTATAGATTAAATCTATTTTTACTGAAGTTATGTGATGCTGCTTTATCCTATGTTCTTGCACATTATTAACATTATTATTTGCAATTATTTTTGTAAGGCCCTAAATATGATGGGATAGCATATAAATGTAGTTACCAAATCATGAATGGAGCCTATGACGTTGTTTATTACCTCTTAGTGAAATCTTTGAAGCACAGTCGGAGTTTGTTGTGGTGTCGATAGAGCTTGGGGTCATCAGGGATTTCAGCCAAAAATACCTGTGCCACTTCCAGGGGACCCTGCAACAGAAAGGGCATGGAGATGTAGTATGGTAAGAATGCCTGAACTGGAGTCAGGATCTGGGACATATGTGGAAAGATTTCTTTCCCTTGCCGTTCCATCTCTATCAAAATTTAGGCCACTCTTAGACATTGTTATTTTTATTTAGTTATCAACCTGAATGCTGCCTCTTTCACTGGCGTACCTTTGGAAGGCTTACACATTATAAAATAAAAAATAAAATAAAGCAAGAACCAAGAAAACAGTAATGCATACACCAAACTCAAACAATCTTAAATCCAAGATGCTCTTTCAAGAGAGCTGATCATTTCATCTTGCCTCAGAGCCTACTGAAAGAGGCACAGTACTAATGTTTTATGAAAATACAGCAGGAATGAGGACCTCAGAAAAAAATGCTGTTCCAAGAGGTAGGTACCGCTATAGAGAAGACATGTCTCCTAGGACCCTTTAAAAAATGACATTGTTTTAAAATCAGGACCTGTAATACGTCAATTCTATTTGGTCTTACTGGTTGGGCAAAAATGACTGGTCTTAGAAGGCAGTCCTGTGGGTAACCAAAACCTGAGCCTAAGCCGCAAAAGGGTTTAGAGGTGAAGATCAACACTGAATTGTACCTGGAAGCCCTCTGGTACCCACTGCATCAACATAATCACCTTGTTTCTCCTGCCCCATCATAGTCCTATTCATGCTGGCCACTCCATTGCATCCTACGGTGACAACCTCTATACAGGTTCTGCCATAGATCACTGACAAACACAGTCAATGCTGCTCCCAAAATACATCCCCAAACGTAAATCTCAGGATCTTCTGCAGTTGCTGTGTATCACATAACCAGGCCTGAAGCCTCTCTGCCTGCAATAAAACAGTTCTTCCCATTCCGTGGTTGAGTACCTGATTGACTATGGTTCCAACACATCCCTGAAGCACCATCTGCAGCATCTTGGCATCAGCTGGTTCCTGGTGGGTGGCAAAAGCCAATTCCTGAGTCTTCTTCTGCATGTCCTCTATGGCTACTTCAATAGGAATAAGAATGATCTGGAGACAAGGCAAGGCAAGCATATTACCTTCTTGTACTTAAAACAATGTGTATAAATGCATAAAACCCCCACCCTATATAAAATTAGTTCCAATCCAAGTCTTGCATCAGGAAAAGATGGACTTGTGTGCTCTACATACAGTTAAAGGTTTTTATTAATATTAAAGGTTATAACTGTCTGACTTCTCTCACGTAATTTAATTTACAATGAGTGCTTGTTACATTTACTATTTTGCATAATTTATTCTCAACTGACCTATTATAAAGCGCAGCCTAGGAATGCTACAGTTTGCAGAATTCTGCATTGCATTCACAGTGCAATATTCTCTAGCCATTTCTCTGTCTTAATTTAACTTTTCTGAGATTTTAAAAATGTACTTCTGAAACATTGTCAAGCTTACTTCCATATGTCATAAATTACAGTAATCTGAATTTTGCATACAAATCATATTCTACAATTTTTTCACTCCCAGTAATTGTGATCCCTGAAACCTTCACGAGCTGATTCTCTCATTACCTCTTCCTTGTGGATGACATTAATGCGAGTTTTGATGTAAGGGAAAGCATGAGAAGTGGTGAGCAGAGTCTTGCGCTTGAACTGCTCGTGCAGATCCCCATGGGCTCGTCCATCCAATGTGAAAGGGGTGCAAAACATGAAAGTGCGCAGATTGTAGTTCTTGTCAAAATATGTGACACGGTCCTTCAGTTCATATGTGTCAAAGAAAGGCTCCACATAAGTCAACTGGATGTATGCCTGTGACAAGACAAGAAAGGATCAGCATCCTTTCAGCACTGTTGCATCAGGTGCTTGCTTGCTTGGAGTTCAGACTATAATTTGAACAAGGACAAGTGAGTAGAGAAGAGAGCAGCTCCCCCAAACCCAG